GACGACAGTCTTGCTATATAGTCCAGGCTGGCCTTGCACACTGTAGCTCAGGTTGGCCTCAAACTCAAGAGATGCCCATGCTTCAGCCTCTTGAGTGCTAGGCTTGTAGGCATGCACCCCATTCCCAGGAGGGATCATTTCAGTGAGCCTGATAGGTAAGATGAGGATGGTTGAAGAGGGCTGATTTGGAGCAGTAGGGGTCACGGAACAAACTTCCAAAGGAAGGTAGGGGAGTGGGCACAGGGAGGTAGGGGAGAGGGTACAGGAGGAGGAGGAGGAGAGAAAACTCAGCTCTGTGCTTTGTGCAGAGCGCACACATCCGGATGCAAGGGAGAGCCAGCACTGGGAGAATGCTGGGCGCTGCGCAAGCACAAGCGAATGAGTGCATGCCTTCGGCCTGACAGTCTCCTGGGGAAGTAGAGACCAGAGAGCAGTTAGGAGATCCCCAGGGCTGGGTGAGGCCAGCGCTGTGGCCATCAGGCCTGAGCAGCTGCCAGCAGCTTGGTCTGTGTCTTCTCCGCAGCAGGAAGTGGGGAAGGAACTGGTTGGTTCGGAGTGGAGAAGACAGATGCTTGCCTCTTGGGAGTGTTAGTGATGCTGGGGAGACTGCCTGAGAGTGACCTGTTGCACCCAGGGATTTGGAGGCAGAAAAGGAGGCTCAAAGGTCAGAGACCCAAGAGAGAAGAAACGTTGTCGTCCAGTCCATCTGAGGACTGCCTTTAAGTGACGGGCTGACCCCTGCCTTGTCTTTCTTCAGCACTGGTGCCTCGCAGGTGTGCTGGGCCTTCCACAGCCCTGCTGCCTCTGCTGCTCAGGCTGACGTCTCTGTGGTTGAGGATGCGCAAAGAGATGCAGAGCAGGGCTTGGCCCGGAATTCCAGGAGCTAAGTGACATTCCCCTAAGTTCCACTCTTTGGGAATTGTTAGAATGACATTGAAGAGACCTGGTTAAATCGTGTGTGTGTGTGTGTGTGTGTTCCTAAAGGATATGAAGTGGAAACCTGAAGCATCAGTCACAAACTCGAGGGCAGCCCAGGATAGGGGGTTGTTCCCTTGCTACCTTGGGAACTTGGATGGGCTTTGCAGGACAATTCAGTGTTTAGAGAGCCCAGGTAGAGTTCTAGCCCAGTGCTTCTATTTTACTGAGTTTCCCTGAAGTGGAGTCAGCCTTTTGTCATGCTGGTATTTGGAGGTAGAGGTGGCAATCATCCTGATAACCCTGGTGCTGTGTTTTTTGGTGCCCCTGTGACCTTGAGAACCACTGCAGTCAACCAGCACCTCCAGGTGGCCCTTTAAGCACTCTGAGGTGCAGAAGGTGGAAAGCACTGGGGAGACTGAAACAGGAGGATCACTATGAGTCTGAGCAAGATCCTGTACCAAATAAAGATTTCAAATTTTCCTTCTTTTTTTTTTTTTTTTTTAAACATTTAGTACAGAGCCTACAGGGTCCCATTACACAGATTGGACTCCTAGTGATCCTCCTGTTTTCAGTCTCTCAAGCACTGGGATTACAGGCAGGCACCACCATGCCCAGTCTCAGTCACCATCTCAGTGCACACCAGGTGCATCTGCCTAAGCGGGCACTTTAATCTGCTGAGCTATCTGGCCCCACTCTTTAAAAAAAAATTTTTTAAAGAAGGTGGAAAGAGAGAGGCAGGGAAAAGGACCCATATGATGTATCAAGAATGCCCGCCTGCTGAGGTGCCCCAGGCACCAGCATGGATCAGGGCCATGGGCCCGGGGCATGGCCTGCTCAGCATCTCTGCCCAGGTGGCCTGGGTTCTGCTGATGCTCACTGATCAGTGGGATGCAACCTGTCTGGCTTGTGTGTTACTTCTGGTACAGGGACACATTTATTTTCCTAACTGTGATAAAAAAAAAAAAATTACTATTACTGAATGGAAGTTTGTTACTGCTTTTGAAATCTGAAAATATTCCCCCTAAGGCTAAAATCTTACTTGGAAGACCACCTAATGTGGAATTAGAATATTTGATTAATAATAATATAGCTTAGAGAGCACAGACCCGGAGAGTAAGTGAGATGACCTGGGGCCGTGGGATCCTGAATAGACCCAGAGCATAGGTCCAGCAAGGGAGTGAGACCACCCAGGGCCCACGGAGTTTCATTGACCCGGAGTACAGGCCCAGCACGGAATCCTTCAGCAGAACACCCTGCAAAGAGGCTAGAGGCAAGACCCACCCAGCTGATTCAGGAGCAGAACATCTTGCCAGAGTGACACAAAGGGTTCAACTCTAATGCCTGAGGCAGAAAGAAGTGGAGCACAGCAGCCAGATCCAAACAACACCCACCTGGAGGAATCTGAACTTCATAGATC